CTTCTCGGGTATTTTGCCAAAGAATAAGAAAAGTAACAAATACAGTGATATTCAACAAAGAGTTGAAGGAAATGGAGAATCAACCCACATAGATTCACCTGTAAACTTTATTATAACCTCAGCATACTGGGAGCTAGGGCAAAAGATCACAAGTTTGGGACCAGGCTGGGCTACTATAGAAAGACCTTGACTCAAAAATATGTGATACTTCTGACATGCTGCAAGAACAGCAAGAAGGCCGGGGTAGGCAGAGCTGAACAGAAGGCAAAAGGTTATAGATTAAGAGAAAGCTAATCCCAGGATTCTGAAGGACTAAAAAGCAAAGCACAATGAAAATTCTGAATAATGGCATACCATGATCTTACTACTTTGGGCTCCAGTGGACAACTGAATGTTGGAGAAAGAATGGAAGCAAAGAGGCCAGTGAGGATCCTATTGTAATTACTCAGGCAAACAGATCTGCATGGTATCCGTAGAGGTGGTGGCTGGACTCAGTGTGCACTTTAAAGCAGAGAAGAGACTCTCTGGTAAACTGATTGTGAATAGGAAAGAAGGTAAAAATTCAGGGATGTCAAGTCAGTGGCCCCCTGTGAACGTGGCTTCTGGTACTCATGCCCTTCTCTGGTTCCTTTCATTTGAACCTTGGCTGCCCCAGGCAACTTGATGCAAATCACAAAAGTGATGCTGGGCCAGTCTGTACCCAAACCTTAGTCCTAAGCAATGTCTGCTTTTGTGCTCTTGAAACTCTTGAGATCTTTCAAGCATGTACAGAGGATCCTGAGCAGGTAGGAAAAATGAAACATGGATATGTTACATGGGTCCAGCTTCTAGGTCACCCTCCAACTGAGCATAGCTCACCAGAGCCTACCAGCAAGAACAGCAGGAAATCCATAGAGGAGAGCTAAGCCCAGGTCCAGAACTGAGAACAAATTGTTTAAAGCTACTAAAGTCTAGGGTGACTCATTCAGCCTTGGGACTATCAAATAGATGACCCAAGAGTTGCAGCCAGAGCACCTAGAGGATGGAATCAGCATTAACTAGAGGGGAGGGTGTGGCTAACAAGTTTGGGAACAAAATTAAAATCTTATCACTTCTACATGAGGCAGGTAGTTTTTCTTAATACATCTGCTCTCTTAAATACAGATGGCTCTTCCAAGATTTCAAGAGGCCCCTCTAAGAGTGACTCTTAGGATGCCTATAGAACAGCAGAAGTTAGAAGAGGGGTTATTTCAGTTTTCCTTTTTCACATTCTGAGGCTATTAGTCAGAGAAACCCTGACAGTCGCTCTTGCCTGTCCCTGGTTTTGCCTGTTGTGGTTTTAGGGCTTTGGTAACAGCATCATGCAAAGGAGAATCCACTGAGCTCACGTTCCCTCCACACTTTCCACAACTAGTCATGGTAAACCACTTAGGGCTTGGCTGATGGGCTTCTGGAGGCTGAGTGGGCTCCTTGGAGAGAAGCCCTGGCCAATGTTAGATTTAATCCTTCCTTTGGACAGCAGCTTGTGGGAAAAGAAAAACTGCCCAGGCAGTTTGGTCAGTCTCTCTGATCACAGACATCTGGGCTAATACCTTGCAGAACCTGAACCCAAACTATGTTGAGGAAAAAGGCCATGCGTTACTTTGGAATTCTTAATGTCCCAGAACAAATGTGAATTTAAAAGGAATAATTTTACACTGCCAATCCGCCATTCACTCTCCCTAATAGCCCATGACATTCACTCAATCATATTTTTTTCCTCTTAAAAGGATTCTATAAAAGGTTTATAATATACACAAGGGTTTCCTTCTTCTGGACTGTCTTCTCTTGTGTCAATGTTACTAGGAATGAAGAGCAACTATTATTTAGATTGCCTTTGAGGTCTTCTATCCAAGAATTAAACACAACTTCTCGAAAATGCCCCTGGCCGGTCTCCCTATGCAGCTTTGGCTGTGCTTAAACTCATGATCCTCCTGCCTTCGCCTCTCACATGCTGACTGCTGAGCTATGAGCATGTGCTACCAAACCAGTTTGAAAGGAGTTTCATATGAGGTTGTTACTGCATGATCACCATGGAGATGTGTTCATGGCACAGTACTCTGCAACCAGCCTGGGCTCTAATGTCCCTTAAAGTAATACGTGCCTTTGGGCAACCTTTCCCCCAACATCTGTCAATACAGTTCTAGATCTGTTCTAAGATGCACACATGCCTTGTGGAAGTCCTGGATAAGTTGTTCTTCAGAGTCCTTATATCCACCATCTCCTTAAGAATGTTCACATGTCAGCAGTACAGGACCTGCCAACTAACTCAGATGCAGATTTGTCTCAACTTTGATGGCACATCTGGAGTTGTTTTGGAGAAGTGCTAATTTTCTGATACCTATGGCAGGCTGTGCATAGAGACTGGGAAGGTTTCCATGCATCCCAGAGATATATCCTCTGGCACAGAGGTGCAGATATTCACATTTAGTTGTTTGGGGCACACTGAAGAAGTATAGTCTAAAGACAATGGTCTCCTGAGATGCCCCATTTAGGGCTGAGAATACTGAGTCTCTTACAGGTGTAGAGACATCTAGGCCAGTTGTGGGTCTCTTTGTTGATTACCATATACTGCAAACAGAAGTGTCTCTGATGAGGGCTGGGTTATACTAACTGTGAGGATAAAACAGTGAGTCATCGGGAGTCAGTTTAATACTATATCCATTTAGTTTAATACTATATCCATTTAGTTTAATACTATATCCATTTAGCTTTTGTGCATTTTAAAAATATACATTTCTAGGATTAAAAAAAACTAGCAGAAAAATTCAAGAACACATCAAAAATTTATCCACCGTGATGATGTCCAGTTCATTCCAAAGATGCAGGGATGGTCCAACATTTGTAGATTGAACACAGTATTCAGGTTAAACAAACCTGAAATTGTTTATTCAGGTTCAGATAATGAGTAGAAACCTTGAACTTGAATAAACAGCCCACTGTATGATTAGACTCAAGGACAGAACACACAAGACCATCTCATCAGCTGCAGAAAAGGTCTTCAACAAAATTCAACTTCATTCAATAACAAGCATTCTGAGAAAACAGAAATACAGGGAACATATCTCAACATAATATAAGGAATATACAGGAAGCCCACAGCCAACATCATCCTAAACGGAGAAAAATTCAAATAACTTTCATTAAAATCAGGAACAAGACAGGAAGTTCTTTTCCCTTCCTCCACTGCGTCAAAAGAACAATCATGTTATGGGGATTGTGACCAGCCCAAGGAGACGACCTCATATCTGTAAACCAAAATTAATTTCTTTGTTCCGAAAGAAAGACTGTAAATTAACATTTGGAATTTATTTATGCATATTGCAAACACAATTCCAACAGGCATATAAGCAGATATCCCAAGTCAAGTTCACATTTAGAAGAAGAGATCAAAATACAAGGGGCCAGGTACAGGCAGACCCATGAAAGAGACAAGCAAGGATGACAAAGTCACAAGGTCACCACTGTCCTGGAGAGCACAGTGCACCACCTGTGTGAGGAGTGTTCACAGCCTGACTCTCACCAAGTCCTGGAAATGTACCACTTTCAAACCCAGAGCAGGGTTACAGTGATGCACTTAAGAAATCCAGACCAAGTTTTATTGTACTAAGAGATTCAAGCATCTAATTCTTGGCTCCTGAAAAGATTGAAAATAGGTATAACAGTCAAGGTCATCGACATTAAAAGCAGGTTTCTTGAAATACAGTTTGAGAGCCTGGGTAATATCTGTGAACTGGAGAATAAAGTTATTCTCTTATCTGCTTCTACCTTTTCTACTTTTGTGTGAAGTCAATTTTACATCTGTTGATAACTTTTGGGTTCAGTACCTGAAACTAAACATGACTATCTAATGAAAGAATTTATAAACACACTTCATTTTTGCTTCCAAGATTCTGAATAGCAATTTACACACACCCCCCAACTCCACGATATCTCTTACAAAGACGTATTTAGAATACTGGAGAATAGTCTTGACAGACTGTTCTGAGAGGGGTAGTATCCTATGATGCTGACCAGTTTTTAAGCTCTTCATAAAAGGGGTCTTAAACAAACTCAGACTTTTAAATATGAATAGAGTAAGTCAGAAGAAGATGAAAGAACTGGCATTCCTGGTGAAATCGGTCAGAGGATTTTCAGACTCCACATGTCCTGATAGTTTTATGTGATCCAGTCCAGCTCCTTAAAAAAAAAAAAAAAAAAAAAAATCCTGCCAACAGGTAACAGGTCTTTGAAAGCATTTAAAACCAAAGGCTCCCCACCAGCCAGTCCATCTCTTCCTAAATTCTCGGCCTCATTAAGAATGAGAAACAGATACTATGGCACCAACCTGTCTACGAGAACACAGCGAGACAAATGTAATTGCCCGTACAAGGAATATAAATCAGCAGCTTTCAAATCATTCATATTTACACCCTCTTCATTTTGGTTGTCTTTCCTTTATAATTTGGCCATACATCCATGTCAAGTATATAATTTCATCTGAGGCTTTATCAGTTACCGCCCAGAGCCATGATTATATGTTGCAAGGAAACTTCCTCCCCCTGAGCAAGTCTATCTTTAGTATCTTCTTGATAACCACTTCTTACATAAAAAAAAGAAATAAATAAAAGGAAAGTCTGGGTTTTCTTATGTGGCTCCAGAGTCCCTAAATAGAACATTTAGGAGCAATTTATCAACCGCCACCATTGAGCTTCCAGCTGCCGCTCCAACTGTTCAAAGCAAAGTGTTTTTGCTTATTCCCTTTGTTATTTTTATCAAGTTGCAATGGAAATTGTACTTGTTTCTATACTGAGACTTCAATCACCTTAAGTTTGACTTCCTTCTTGCTAGGGTTGACTGCTGTTTTATGGAGCTTGGCCAGTAAGATGGGCAATAATATAATTCTGGAAGAAGTAATTTGTTTTTGCAAAGAAAATAAGACACAGTCACCAGTCTAGGATTCAGAAGATGAGTCTGCAACAAGTGGTCGGTCACACGCTGTCCCCAGTAATATGCTTTTATTTTTGTACCTTTATCTTAAAAATATATTTAAACAAGAAACAAAGATATTGAATTTTCCCCATAAACTTTGCATTCTTATTTACAGTGTTACATTGTAAATAACATTCCATTATACACAAATTAAGACTGCATTACTGAACATTCTCTTTACATATCCTTTCATAGTACAGTGCACACGGCGCAAAGCTATGCAATACTTAAGCTTCAAATAGCTCAGGAAAGAAGCACAAACTTTATCAATAAGACTATTACTTTAAAAGGTTCTGACCTTAATTCTCCACTAGACTGTTTCACTGAAACCATTCTTTGTTCAAGGAAAAATGCCCTGTATGAGGGATGAGAACACAGTTTAAGTTACCACACCAACCACTTAAACTGACACCATATTATTGATTACTCTTATTAAATGGACCACAATGAAGGTCAAGTCATTTAAACAAGGAGATTCACTCTTCAGTTCAGACACATTGTATCAACCACAGTTGGTACCTTTTTATGAAATTAAAGTTTTCTACAACTTTAAGTTTTACTTGTAAACAGTTAAAGCACACATTTTGTAAAGATTTGATCATTCTCAGTCATAGGTTACACTTGAGGAGATCCTGTCCCGTCAGGGAGAAGCAAGCACACAAACTGCATACAGATACACATCCACACATGCTCCCGTTCACCCATCAAAGACTTGAGTGTCAACCAGCACTAAGTATAGCAGCACTTGTGTCCCAAGCAGTGCCCGAGGTTGCAATAGGAATTACAAAACAAGGAAGATAAAACACCCAAGTTCAATTAAATAGTCCAAAGCTCAGGTTTTGAAATGCCTCTCAGACACTTCACATTCAGCCCGGAGTCAGTTCACTGGGCTCTCCAGGCGGCACACTCCACCTTCGATGGCAACCGACTGTCCTGCCACAGCACCAGGAGGGAGTCTTGAAATGTGAGTCTGCAGAGAAAGAGACAGGGAGTGTCAGCGGTGCAAGCAGAGGCCCTGCAGCTGACAAACATGAAGCCAGCTCAGGAACATCGCGTCTTCACTTGGCCTCTCAGTGTCCACTGGAAGTGATGGTAGGAACATTTCAGAGAAGTAAGCCCTCTTGGTTTAAACTGCTCAGGGATGCTCACTGGGCATCTGCTACAGGCAAGCACAACACCAGTTCATAGGGAAGCAGAGGTAATGGAGAGGCCAACACCTCAACAGCACAACAGACAACACAGTCTGGATTCTCACGAAAGGTTCTGAAGGCAACTATATAGAGTACATTCCAGCCATCTAAAAACAGGGCAACTGGGGGCTGGAGAGATGGCTCAGAGGTTAAGAGTACTGGCTGCTCTTCCAGAGGTCCTGAGTTCAATTCCCAGCAACCACATGGTGGTTTACAAACATCCATAATGAGATCTGGTGCCCTCTTCTGGCCTGAAGGCATGCCAGCAGAACACTGTATACATAATAAATAAACTTAAAAAAATAAAAACAGGGCAACTGTGTACAATTTGTCCTCTAAATTCCGAGAGAAGAAAGAATATAAAGCATGTTTTTCAGGTGTAATTTAGTCTTTCAATGACTAAAGTAGCTTACAAAAAATCAAAAGTAAATAAGAAAATAACATAACAGTAAAAATTTAGTGAGGGGAAAACACCAAATCGAGGCTAAGGAGGCCTGTCTTGGAGCCGGACTGAGGCCGTGCTGCACGGCTTCCTTGTGGTTTATGTGGTGGGCTGGATCACAGCCTGTCAACTGCTCAGGTGAGAACATCTATTCTTGGCACTGAAGCTAGGTGGCATTTCTCCTGGGGACTGTCATAAACAGGTCGCTGACTAAAGAGGCGAAGAGACAACATCTGTGTGCCACACATTAAGGATTTGTATGGGCTGAACACTGCAACACCACTCAAAGGAATCTGGTATCCAAGAAAGAAAGTACATGCTGATTCGAAGGGGTCAGGAAAACAATTTCTCTTTTTTCCTCTTTTACATAATCTGGCTAAATCAAGAGGACAAATAAATGTCAGGATTTTTAACCAAGAAGGGGGAAGGGTGCATACTACTCTCTAATTCTTTCTCTAAATAAACTTTGCCTAAGGACTGAACCAAAGTGAGTTCAAGGCCATAGATGAAGTTGCTAGCTGAAGCTGGTAAATTGGCCAAGGGCAGGTCTGACATGCCTTCATGAAACAAAAATGAAGTAAACATGTGTTTTAGATTGAACAGTAAGCTTGCTGGCTCACAGTTTGAAGGTGGACATACTACTTTGACTAAGTCCAACAAGAAGAGTAGATATAAAACAACCTGGGAAGGTCTAGAGAATAGAAAATGTTCTCTGAGTACTTAGCTTTTGTGTGGGCAAGTCTGGAAGCAACCTGCCCTGTTCAGGGGTGAGGCAGGTGACTCTGGAGTGTGAATGCTGTGTAAGGCAGATCCCTTACATACAGTAATCCCAGACTTAGGCCCCTGGGAGCCGTGCCGAAGAATCTGGGATCCAAGTTTTGTTTTATCACATGAATATATCATTCCCGAGACCAGCTTTTTAAGAAGCTTCTTCAGTCCCTAAAGAGTAGCTACTAGAAGAGGGAGAGTTTGTCCTTGCTACTTGTGACCTATATAACACTGTGCACAAAAAGCTCAACTCTCAAAGTTCCCAACATTCAGCATTGATAAAAACACTGATCATCAGGAGTGGAAATGTTCCCCACTGGTGTCACTCATCATCTTAAGGTCTTCTTAAACAAAAAGGATCCCAAGATAATAAAAGTCCAATTGCTTTCATTCCTACTCCCATCTACCTGTCATCAACACAGGCATGTAGCTACAACACGAGCTAGGCAGAAAGTAGAAGCAGTATGGAAGATGGTGGTAGGTTTCTAAAACCTTAAAGACAGAATGATCTAACAATCCCCCTACTGGGTATATAAACTCCCCTCACAAATTGAAGGGAGTAACTCAGACAGTGTGCATAAACTAATGTTCAGTCTTCATAGCAGCGCTATGAAGGCACAAGGTGGAGGCAGGATAAACGACTATCACTGGATGCACAGACAAAGTGTGGAATGTGCGCGATGGTACACTATGTGTCCTTAAAAGGGCAGGGACAAGACAGTGAACCTTATGTAAAACAGGCCAAATAACAGACATCAAAGAACTAAGATAGTAGGTTCTACTAATATGTGGCATCTAATAAATTCATAAACATTAAAAGTTAGAATAGCACCTTCTAGAGGCTGAGAGTAGGAAATGGGGTAGGGTGGGGTGATGTGTAATGGGTATAGATTTGCAGATTGGGAAGAAGAAAAAGTTCTGGAGATGGATGTGGTGATAGCGCCTAACAATGTGAATTATTCAGTGCTTGATAAGGGATTCGCATGATAAATTCTATGTATGTATAAGCTGCAATAATCTCTCTCTCTCTCTCTCACACACACACACACAGACAGAGAGAGGAGAAAGAGAGAGAGAGAGAGAGAGAGAGAGAGAGAGAGAGAGGGAGGGAGAGAGAGAGAGAGGAGAGAAACAATAGTCTCTTACTTGGCTAGAGTACTGCCTACTTTTATGCTAGCCTAACACAGACTAGACTCATCTGAAAGGAGGAACCTCAATTAAGAATGCCTCCACACACTCCACACAGCGCCAGTGCCCACCCTCCCTGCTACAGGATCAGGCTGCGGCAGGACACAGTGTGGCTGGTGGCTGTGGTGACAGCAGAGGCCTCCAGAAACTATTCAGCCACCTGAACTTCAGCTTCAGCCCCGACTGCCTCAGCCTCATCTGCTTGGAGAGGAAAAACCATCTGAACCTAGGGCCCATCTACACCTGGAGGAGTGACTGGAGGCTCAGCCCCCGGCCACATCAATTGAAGGAAGAGGGATTCACTGAAGCACAGGTTCTACCCATACCGACTGGAGGAAGAGATGGGTAGACAAAAAGATAAGGATGCACCAAACAATACAAAGAGCAATACAGCAACACCAGAAACTAGTAGTTCTATATCAAGAAGACATCAATGTCCCAACACAGATAAATCAGAAAATACCGACACTAAAAATAACTTTGTGAAGATGATTGAGGCCCTTAAAGAGGAAATAAAAAATTCTCTTAAAGAAATGGAAGAGCAGAAGGAGAGAGAGCACGAGCAAGGAACTCAGGACCGCAAGGGGTGCACCCACACACTGAGACAATGGGGATGTTCTTTCGGGAACTCACCAAGGCCAGCTGTCCTGGGTCTGAAAAAGCATGGGATAATACCGGACTTGCTGAACATAGCGGACAATGAGGGCCACTGAGAACTCAAGAACAATGGCAATGGGTTTTTGATCCTACTGCACGTACTGGCTTTGTGGGAACCTAGGCAGTTTGGATGCTCACCTTACTAGACCAGGATGGAGGTGGGTGGTCCTTGGGCTTCCCACAGGGCAGGGAACCCTGATTGCTCTTTGGGCTGACTAGGGAGGGGGACTTGATTGGGGAAGGGGGAGGGAAATGGGAGGCGGTGGTGGGGAGGAGGCAGAAATCTTTAAGAAAGAAAGAGAGAGAGAGAGAGAGAGAGAGAGAGAGAGAGAGAGAAAGAGACAAACAAAAAATTTGTTGGAAGAGATCAATAAATCCCTTAAAGCAAAGCGAAAAAAAATGCCTTCATAAGATCCAGCTGTAAGGCATTTTCTTAATTAGTGATTGGCGGGAGAGGTCCCAGATCATTGTGGGTGGTGCCATCCCTGGGCTGGTGGTCTTGGGCTCTATAAGAAAGCAGGTTGAGCAAGCCATGATGAGCAAGCCAGTAAGCAGAACCTCTACCTGGGCTCCCCATTAGCTCCTGCTTCCAGCTTCTTGTTCTGCTTAAGTTCCTGCCCTAACTTCCTTTGATGATAAACTGTGATGTGGAAGTGTAAGCCAGATAAATCTTTCCCCTCTGAAACGTGCTTTTGGTCATGGTGTTTCACTGGAGTAATCCTAAAACAGGTCACCTTAACTAAGACAGGGATTAACAAGGAATCAAACTATGATGGAGATCTCTACAGGAGAAATATACCTTTACTATGTCTACTCATAAACAGATTGGAATGTTTTTTGAATAGGTTTAAAAAGAGAGAGGCTTACAGGAAAATCTGTCCTCAGACTTCCTAGAGGATTATACGAAATCCACTGGGACATCAGGCTTCAGAGACTAAAGAGAATAAGTTAACTGATGTTATTAAAGCCAAACTGATGACAATATAGCCAAACAGCCTACAAACAGAATTGGGGGATGTAAGTCCTAAAGGAACAGATTTCCTGTTGTCCAAGATAAAGATTCTAAACTGGAATCTTTATTGTGGGCACCGTGGGACTTGATGTGCTTCAAACAGCATGCATGGCCAGTCTAGGGCCCCGGAAATGCTACCACTCCAACACAAAGTTTATGATAGCAGAACACATAAAAAAGCTGAGTCAGCCACCAAGTTTCAAGGAAAGTTAGGAAGGTTAGAAGGGGTAGGAGTAGAATGCTCTGGAGATGTTCAGTAACAGTACATGAGCACAATGCGACAAAGACACAACTAGATTTCGCTAAGCCCAGCTATTTGTACACAAAAGAAATACTCAGATAAAGTAGTTAAATTAAATAAGCTTGATTTAAAAATTGTTAACTCTTCACACTCCTCTTTCACCAAAACACCACTTAGTACAGGAGGATTTGCAATTCCAAGAATTATTTTCAGCTAGGCGGTGGTGCACACGCCTTTAATCCCAGTACTTAGAAGGAAGAGACCCGTGGATCTCTGTGAGTTCAAGGACAACAAGGGCTGTTAAACTGAGAAAACCTACCTGAAAAAAGACCAAACAAACTAAAACAACAACAACAAAAAGAATTATTTTTGAATGAGATCGATATTGTGGGTAGCAAAATAGCTAACTATATTAATGACAATACTTTGCCATCAGCATGATCTCAGACAAAAAGTGATTTTATTCTGAGTC